TATATATAAAATTAATGTTTTGGCATAATGGTTACTCTAACACCAAATATATATACTAACCAAAGCAAGCTAGAGTAATCATTTAGCATAATGGTATATACTAATCTTCCATCAAAAAATTTTAGCCACTTATAACTGATGGTATTAAACTAAAACTAAATTTATCGAAGATATCAATAATTAATAGAGCAACATACAATAAAATTTTAGAGACCAAATCGAAAACGAAACAAAGACGCATGTGAGAAAGACAATGAGGAGCACGAGAGAAGTAATACAAAGTACAACATGTTTTTAATTAAAGCATATCAACAAACAAAGAAAGGGAAAACAAGCAGGCTGTTGATTCCCTCTCTTAGTAAGAATAAATGATTATCTAAGTTAAGCACATGCTTAATTTTCACCTATGCAATCATTTAATATCAGCTGGATGTGCTCTTTGTACAGAATTTTAGCTATCCCATCAGGTGATCCTTACTTGAGCAAAACAGGACCCATGCCTCTAAATACCCATCAGACAAAACAAAATGAATAATATTTCCCAAACTAATCACAAATTAAAACCAAGTAATTAACTATGTGACAAATCCTGCTAACTAGACCACAAAGCTTTTACTCATGCAAAGGAAGTAAATGAGTAAAACCAGGGTAGAACATCAGCATCCTTGATCATGCAACATCCTGACTCTCAAAAATAGGAAGTTGGACAACATATTTGGATTTAGTGGTTCTCAATGGCTAATATAGAATCACATGATTACTCTGGCCCTCCATCAAAATTATAACTTCAACCAAAAACTCCATCCCAGTTGGACGTTACACTGAGAATTGGTTACACAAAATAGCCTATTTTCCATAAATCATTCATGCAAAAAAAAATCAGTTGAGCCGTATGCCAGATTGTCAGGTGGATACATTATCATGAAAACTGTTCCTCGTATCAAATAACAATAGAAAACAAAATTTATATATAGTTATGTACAAAGATCATACCAAATAGTTGTCGCTTGAGATCTTCCTGCATGGTGTCATTGTTACAAACAAATATATAACCACCAAGAATCTCATTTCTTGGGAGCATCTCAGTTGACGGCAATGTCTTAAACCTCTTGTCAACAACATTGTTGTTGTTATTATTGTTATTACCGTTGCTGCTGTTGTTATTGTTATTGCTGTTTCCATCACTCTTATTGTAATTGTTGACATCTTTGTTGCTAGAGTTCTTAGCATACTTGTTGATTGCAGTGCCCAACTTGAAACTGTTGACATCATTAGAGTTGATTTTCTGATAAGCATTGCTCATGCTAAAAGCACCATGGAAGAGACTCTTGACCGAAGCATCATTCATCTTGACATCCAGGTTCATAAGACCAAGATTGAGATTCTCAAATTTGTTATCTTCCTGAAACCCAACCTTGTCATATGGTTTAGCTTCAATGATGTTCCTTGGATAATCCAGGTTATTCCTACGGTCAACTTTCGACCTTGTCAGCTCAGCCAGTTTGGATGTCATAACAGACCACTGATGGTCCTCTGAGATCTTTGTTTGACCTCGGAATTCGTCCCCCAATTTCCAAAGGCCATCCATCTTTCCAAATATGTAACTGTTTACAGCAAAAAGAATAATTAAAACTAAAAAAGGATGAGTAATTTAATCTCCTATACATTCAAAACTATAAAGAAATGGAATTTTATTAAATTATGTAAACCAGCTTGTTACCCCTATGCATGCTAGCATTAGTCCTTAATTGACCATCATTTTTTTAACAAGATTCTCCACAAAAAAGGAAATTTTACGGAAAGCTCAAAGTTATTTTCAGCCCATAGATCTAAGCACTGAAAAAACTACTCACAAAAGATTAGAGGAACTTTTGAGCTTAAACATAACCTATTATTAACAAGATCTGACTTTTAACCACCCAGAGCCTTCTACACACTGCTTTAGCTTGAGCACCCAAAAGATTAATGAATAATTCACAGATAAAGGGATATTTTTTCAATGCAGAAACATAGACAAAATGGCCGACTTTTTGCTTAGGCAAGAGGACAATGATATTTAGATCAGAAAGACTTCACCAAGAAGTGCATGTGTAATCACCGACATACTAACTTCCTCAACAGCAAAACTCGAAAACAAGAAACAAAGAAGAAGAAACAGAAGGCCCCCATCCACAATGATTTATCTCGACTGCAAAGAAAGGATTTGGCAAGAGACGGGAGAAAATTCCAACCAAGAAAGACTAAATCTACGACCGAATTCGAGATCAAGAAATCCAACATCATACGAGTTACATAAGGAAATGGCAGGTAGAGAAACAAAATTCGTTCTCGAACTCACCTCAACCTCACGCATCCCAACCAAGAAGGACCGACCAAATCGAAGCTCGAAAATCCAACATCATAACGAGTTACCGGAGGAAATGACATACAAAGCAACAAAATCCGTGCTCAAATTCGCCTCAACCAGACGCATTCCAACCAAGAAAGACAAAATCTCGACCAAATTCAAGCTCGAGAAACCCAACATCATAACGAGTTACGGAAGGAAATGGCAGCTAACGAAACAAAATCCGTGCTCAAAGTCGCCTCAACCCGACGCATTCCAACCAAGAAAGACCAAATCTCAACTCAATCCAAGCCCCAAAAACCCAACATCATAACGAGTTACGGAAGGAAATGACAGCTAAAGAAACAAAATCCGTGCTCAAAGTCGCCTCAACCCGACGCATTCCATCCAAGAAAGACCAAATCTCGACTCCATCCAAGCCCCAGAAACCCAACATCATAACGAGTTACGGAAGGAACTGACAGCTAAAGAAACAAAATCCGCGCTCAAAGTCGCCTCAACCCGACGCATTCCAACCAAGAAAGACCAAATCTCGACTAGATTCGAGCTCGAGAAACCAACATCACCTTCATTTACAGAAGGAAATGGCAGCTAGGGCAACAAAATTCGTGCTCAAACTCACCTAAACCCGACGCGACCAGCGAGATCTGGGTTTGGGCGCTCTACCGGAATCGATCCGTAATAATTTGGGAACCCTAACCTTTCTTGTGGGATCGACTGCGGAAGGGTAAAGGGCGAGGCTGCCAACCAACACCCGCTTCTTTAAAGGCAAATGATGATGCTCGTCTCGCAGAAAGAATGTCTTGACCTGGATGTCCTTCAACATGCTCAATATTACTCTATTACCCTCGATATATATATATATTTTTATTTTATTTTATTTATATTATTATTATTATTTATATTTATATTTATATATAAATAGTTTGGGAAAGTAACCTTCATATATTAATCCCCTTCTAATCTCATATTAATAAAAATTAAATTAAATCATCCTTTTTGACTTTATATATTTTTTAAAATTTATGATCTATATTTTTATGTTGATCGACTCATCAAAAATATTATGATCCATATTTCTCAACATATTGACCAAGTATTGATCCATTGTTCAATTTGTGACACAAGTAGCTTTTTTTATCTCATAGCTATGTATTATTTTTATTTGTATGCTTTGAATTCATATTTTAGCTTCTCTCTCTGGAAAGCAAGCAAACAGAAATGATGGTAATTAATTAAAGGAATCACAAATACATTGACTCATTTACACTAAGTAAATCCTTGTAAATCCTTGTATTTACACTAAGTAAATACATGGTGTATAGATAGATACATCCCAATGTATTCAAATGGAACTTTTCACACAAGTCCAAATGCAGTACATACATCATGTGTAGAACATGATTTAGTCAAGTCTGCAATCACTTCTCTTGGCCTCAGACCAACTGCAAAACCTTGGTCAAAGGAAAATAATAGTTGACTTTGTTTTCCAATCTAAACCAGATTACCCCAATGAAAACTAGTAGTGTACATAAAGGGTACAAATGTATATCTAAGTAGGAGACACATAGATCACAAAGCACTGGTGGCCAATGATAGGTACAGAGATGTGCAAAACACATTCACATGTAATAACAGTGAGAACCACATAATCAACAAAAAAAACTTGCAACATATTGTTGGAGGTCTGATATTGATGAATCCAAAGTTGTAGAAAAACATGGATCCCAAATCACATGTCAAGGGATCCAAATGACAGAGAACCAGAGGATGTCACCTTCACCAGTGTGATTGATAACAGAACCTGAGCACACAACACTCTTTTTCTAAGTTGAAGAAATTCTCTGGAGAATTTTCAAGAAAAAATGTTTCTTGTCCATATGTGAGCATCTAGCAATGGAAATTCAGTAGGTAGCAGCATGATCAACCAAGATGAGCAAAACTGCCTACATATTGCTTATTCACTTTTACATCTAGTAATACTCTGCTTGGGCACATCAACTTTCAGAACATCTAGAACAATATCAAACATAAGGAAATTAAAGCTTAAAAGTAGAAATTCAATAAAATAAACTAGTAGCCTTTAATATAGGAGAGACATGATCACAAGAATTATTAGTCGAATGGCATAGGAGTTGTCAACATGGAGGTCAAACAATAGTGATATGACAATTTCATCAGACTATATCAGCTCTGTCCACAGAGAATCTGAAATTGCAACTTGATTGTTGGCTACAACTGAATGAAATGTATGCCTGAATGGCATTCAAACTTAGGCTTAACAAGTCAGGGTTTGTGTTCAGAGGAACCACCAAGTCATACCTAGGCTTTGTTCAGGCCTTCATCTGATGAATGGATGACTGCATAAACATCACAATATCCCCATAAACAGAAGAATTTCCCCTGCCTAAACTGGAAAAAGAAAGAATGAAAGACAAGTAACACATGTCCAAATTCATTAGGTACATTACCATCATCCAAGCCATGAGAATGTGCAAAATTTTCTATTCCTATATTTTGCTGGCCTTAAATCTCATACAGCACTAATCCTCACATCACAGTGTTTAAGACTGAGACCTGCCCGAGAAATACTTGTATTGTGTTCCAAATGATAGAGAAAATATATATCAAAAGAAGCCATCATTTGATTAGTAACATCAGCACCATGAATGAATGAATTTAGGACATCATAGCTCTAGAGGGGAAACAAAAAGTTGGCATTTGAAATAGTGGTTTAAACTTGCCTGATTACCAGTTAAAGCATAAACAAAATGTTATCCTACAGCATAACCTAAAACGGTTGCCAACCAGAACACATACATACACACCAATCTTAGTGAATTTCAAGCTCCCGATAGTCAATTATCTCAATTACCTAAAAGAAGAGTACCGGATGTAGCTGCTCTTCAGAAGAAATACTTTGCAGGAGGAAAAAATACACCAATTAAATATTTAGAGGCCAACAGTACACATAGCATGAGTTTAGATGGTGCTAAGTTAACATTGAACTTGTGGCATGGTTAGTTAGATGCTAAGAGGAAAAAGAAGTGATTGCATTTAGTTTATTAAGCTACAATAGGTGTGGCTTGGAGCCGGAACTGAACCAGCCAATTACTTGAAACAGCAAAGCAAGAAGGATCAGCATACATCAATATTTGTATCTATTAAAAGATCTCTCTAATGGTACACCTTCAAATATTCAAAAATCAATTGAACAATCAAAGAATAACATAATCCAAACCAAGTGATCTCTCTTAGTCAGTGGTCCTTTTTTGACAAGTACTTGATCCTAGAGTACAAGCACCTCTTGATACATCACCAAAAAATCCAAAAGATCATTCAACCTTCCATTTCTTCCACTTTTTCCTCAGTTCCAATAAAAAATAAAATAACCAAGTGCAACCATCATATACATTTATTTAAGACACATCTTTCGGAACTTTTCATCCTTATAGAACCTTTGGTCCCCAATCATGGACCCAAAAACATCCAAAAGATTGTCCAACCCCTCCATGTCACCCCCCAATTCCTTCAGGGCACAAACAATGCTCTCGATGGTAGATAAGCAACCTGCCTTAGGTTGATGCCTCACCTCACCATATAAGCTATCCTCTCCTAGATCCAGCTTCAGATGAGGTAAAAGCTGTAACCAGGGATTCTCATGGTAAATCCTCTTTGCCTTTGGCCATGTACCATCTAAAACCACCAAATGCTTCACCTCAAATTCCACAGCTTTCATACAGATAGCTTTATCACTAGGAAAAAGAAGTGCCGTTCCTGGGGGCACCAGGATCTCAAATTCTATAAAATCTTGAAATTCTTTGGTGGGTTGCAGTTCCTTCCTCTGCATCTTCTTAACCACAAACCCATTTGAAATCGCTGCTCTCCCAATCGGAGTCTGTAAAATCCAATCGATCTTGGGTTTGGCAGAACGCTCAACTATCATTTTTATATCACTACCAGAGCATCTTACTGTACATTTAGCCGATGTTATTGTGACCACATCATCTGCATCTATTGGATAGTCTCCATGACGATCAAAATCGAGTCTTTCAGACCCGGACAACGAGGAAAATGAATTCTGCTTATGGAACGTAAGAGGAGGATACGCATCGGGTATTTTTGATGGATTATGAAGGTTACTTGAATGAGCAGCACTGCAACCGCAGTTAACATTGGTGTCATGATATGCAACTCCTTGACCTAAATCACTCATAGGGGCAACTGAAAAATCCGAACTTTCCTCTGCTTCCGGCTCCTCCCGGCAGTCCAGACCGCGTTCAAGAGGGCGAACAAAGAGCTGAGCATGAAAATTAACATCAGTAACGGGGACAACATCCAGGTTCCTGAGCCCCAGTTTAGCGACTCGCGTCGAATTGAGCGGGTGCTTCTTCTCCAAGCTGTGCTGAAGGATCGTGACGCCGATCGAGTTGTCGAGCGGCGGCGACTGAAACCGAGAACAGAGGCAGGTGCGGGCGGGCTTGTCGCAATGTAGGCAAAACGGCCGCCTCGAAGGCCCCTCGCTCCCCATCGCTAGGGTTAGGGTCTGGGAAAGATCGGATCTTTGGGGTACCAAGAAGTAGTAGTTGGTCGCGCGGAGTGATTGATGGAAAAGCAATACAAGAGGCTTGCGGCGGAAGAGTTCCGCAATCGGGGGCTTCATGGCGAGCGAAACCCTAATTTGGAGGCAGAGCTCTTCGGCCAATGCATGGTTTAAGCTGGGTTTGGTTTAGTTGGGCCGGGCCATTTGGGCTTAGAGGCTGAGCATAACCTATTATTATTTATTATTATTATTATTATTATTATTATTATTATTATTATATGGGATTAAGTTTATTATCTGTTAAATTCTTTACTAACTAAGATATCCAATACCTTAAAATATATATATATATGAGATGAATTACTTTTTAGTTGGAAAAACATTCTAAATATAACAATGTTAAATTGGTTTTGTAATTTTTGTTTCATGAAATCCATTCAATTCGACAAAAGGAGGACACTAAATTACAATTAATGTTTTCTTGTTACACCCTTGAATGATTAATGTAAGGTCATTTATTGAGTCAAATAGACTATTTTAGTTAAGAGTGACATTATGCAAGCAAAAAAGAACATGTAATTGTTCCACAAGTAATTATGTCAACATTTGTGTGTGGAAAATTTGATTCAACCCTAATGGTCTAATAACCTCTTTACCACTAATTGGGTTATTAATTGAGTTATTCAAGACTAATAGCCTCTTTATCAACTCAGAACTATAACCTTTTTACCACCCAATTGTTTTGTAAATTTGAATATATTTTACTAATAAAAAAATACTAATCATTTTGAAGCCAATCGAAAAATCTAGATTACGATGTGTTACGACGAATCTAGATTCAATAATAAAATTATTTTTTATGATATTCAGAGATAAAATAATAAATTAATCTATCGCCCAACATAAATAAAATTTTATAATCTTATATTGATAAAATAAATATTAAAAATTTAAATAAAAAATTTACTAATAAAAAAATACTAATCCTTTTGAAGCCAATCGAAAAATCTAGATTACATGAAGTTGATGTGTTACGACGAATCTAGATTCAATAATAGTTTTTTTAGATATTCAGAGATAAAATAATAAAATAATCTATCGACCAACATAAATAAAATTTTATAATCTTATATTGATAAAATAAATATCAATAATTTAATATCATGGATTATCTTCAATTGTTTCCTAATGAAGAGGCTAACATGTTTTTATGTCAATTGAGACCACCCTAGAATTGCCAGAAGCCATTGATCCACCTCATGAATTAAATCATCCAACTCCTCCAAATTTAATGTTTGTCCTCTATAGGTGAGAAGGACACTGAGATACTAAATCCATGTCTTGCTACTTTTCATGCAACATTAATTTCAGTAACTTACATGGAAAAGATTCAAGTAGCTATCATCAAAATTTGGTGTCCCACAGAATAACTAGGAGCCATGTGATGTCCTCCACACAAGACACAACAACTTTATGAACAAGTCCAGGTTGCCTGTCCCATCATCTTGAATGCAATTGTCTTCTTGATGGATAGGACAATGATGGAAGGGAGAGACCTCCAAGCAGTAGGATTGGGAAAGCTTTGTGGTGAAAGCAAACACCATATGGCATCATTCATCATGCTCTGTTTGAGGTTTTTACTTCCTCATTGAGTCACCATGATTTTGTTTTTTTTTGTTTCCAATAATAAAAATAAGTCAACAGTATCATATTTTCTTGCTTGATATTAGAATAATTTTACACCTTATCCCAATTTAATCTCATATCTAAGGTAAGTTAAGATAAAATTGACTTATAAGAATATGATAAATAGATATTTAAGTTTAATAAAATTAAAAGATCAAATTGTAATAATATATTTAAGAATATTGAAAATTTTACTACCAAACTGAAATCCAATTAATTGATATCACAATTTGGCTTGATCATGGATGAGGTATTAAAATTTCAAATTTGTTTATACCCTACTAAACTGAATAACTATCAAAATGCCTAAAATTATTTCAAAATTTTATTTTGGTACTGTTTTTATGCCCAAAAAAAATACTGAACAGTTGCAATCACTTTTATTAGTATTTTTTTTATTTTTAACCTATAATTGTTGAAGGTTTCTTTATTTTATTTTCTCTTGATTAAAGAAGGAAAAGAAAACTTAGAAGGGAGAGCAACAACAATTGTCTTCCTTGTAGCTTTTGGTAATTTTAACCTAACATTTTTACTATATAGTAGTAGTAGTAGTACATGGTGATTGCATGGACATGTAGCTTAGTACATAAATTGTATGTGTCTTTAGTCTTTGGAAAGTAATCTAATATATCTCCAAAATAAATAATTAATTTAGAGATAATTTATTATTGTTGTTGTTTATAATCTTAGCTCCAATATCAAATTGGTATCCTTGCTATTATGCTATAGGATTGATTAAACTTTTCTGATCCTACACATATAACTCCGAGGATTCGAAATCTAATCCGATATATTTTAATAAAAAAATTATATAAATATTATAAATACACATGATTTAATTTTATCCTTTGAAAAAGATATTAAATTTACATAGACAAAAATCTCTTATGATGTGGATTTGATGTAAAAAATGCATTGGACTAGTGACTAGAAAATGACATGCAAAAGATTCTAGTCATGCAAAACAACAAGAAAAAGTTTAAATTGATTGGGACCATATAAATAAATACTATAACATGAAAAGACAAATTTTACATGAAAAATATCACATGAAATTCTTTTTTTTCACAAATATTTTCTTTGATTTGATGAACACTGATTTTTCCCTTTTATTGTTCTTTTAAAGTGATCCGAGTTGTAGTGATTAATTATTTATATGGAGAATACATAATAATAACATATTTATATTAATCAATTCAAATTATAATTGATAGTAATTAGTTTAAGTTAAAGGATATAAATATTTAACAAGTTTTAAGAAGTAATTTATGTTAATTAGGGTTTCAGCGAACAGTCAAATTAGGGGACTTTGGGAAATTGACCGGAAAGGCATAACTGTAAATTCGTAGATGTATAAGACTATATGATATATTTGCCAACAACGTATACGTATCGTACATATGTACAGGTAGATGACCTGTATATACGCGTGCAGACATAGATACACACGTCAATAAAACGCCCCCTCCCTTTCCATGTCTTTCGTGACAATCTGTTCATCCTCCTCCGTCTTTGGCTTCCTTTCTCTCCTGAGAAACCATGAAGCGGATGGCTGCTCTCAAGCTCCTCGCTTTCCCCCTCCTACTCCTGATCGCCTCCCTTCTTCTCTTCTGCTCGCCCTCTCTTCTCGGGGACTGGGACGATGCGGGCTCTTGGAAGGCCCCCTTCCGTCCCGTGGATCTGCTCCCCCTCCTCCCCCACAGGGCGGCGTGGCCCGTCCTCCGCTCCCTCCGCAGCGCCGTTGACCTCCTCCCCACCTTCGTGGGTGCGGCCTCCTCCGCCGAGGATGACCTCGAGTGGAAAGGCGCGTGCTTTTACAAGACCACCGCGTGGATGGAGTTCCACAACAAGAGCCAGTCCCAATTCGGTGGCGGCACGCTCCATATCAAGGTTTGTGGAGGACTTTTCTTTTGGGCCTTGAAAAATCACTTCTTGTTTGGGTTTCTTTTTCTTTTCTCGAGAATTGGGTGCAACGCAGAGTGTTGTTTTGGTCGAGGATTGGGGTATTGGTAGAGGCTGCTGTACGTTTCATCTACAACTGGGGTGAAATTGGTTAGAAAATCGAGATCGAGTTCCTCAATAACTGCTATAACAAGTTCGGATTGCAGCTTCTCATGTCCTAATTTAGGAGAGAAGAAGCGCCGCCCTTTTAATTGAACGAAGATCCTTTCTCTTTTGCTGGGAGGTTAGGGCTGTTTCGATGAACTTGGGTTTATTGGAACGACGCAGTTACTATCCTTCGTTTTGATGGTTAGGTGAAAGTCCACAGGCAATAGGACCTCCGTTTTTAATGTTGGAACTGTCCAAATCGATTTCTAGGTAAAAGAAAATACATGTGGAAATTCATTTATCTACATTTGGGTCTTTTATTTGTGGTGGAACTTATCTTTGTTCCTACTTTGGTGGAAATATTTCTTGCTCACATTAAGCAGGTTGTGATTTGCAGTGAAATTTGATAAGAATGGCCTTTAAGTCGTAGATAGTACTCTCCAAGTCTCCATTAATGTAGTTATGGGTAGATGGTCTCTTGCCTGAAGAAAAAACAAATCCTTTCTATTTTTCCTTTTCTGATGATCTAGTGGAAGACAGATTCTATGGTTATGCTGGATAATGGATGATAATGCTTCTTGCAGCATTGTCCATGTCAAGGTGGACAAAGAAGACAATGTTCTTGATCTTGGGTTGCATTTTTTGTTGTGTTTTTAAGTAAATTTGTTCCTCAGGATTCAAAAGTTGTGCTTAATAGAAAGTTGGTTCATTGCAGTCAGGTGGGATATCTTTAAGTAATTTAATATACATCTCAACCACTTGGTTGTACTGGGTTCTCTAAGTACTTACTTCTATGAGATACTTCAGTTTTTTTTTTTTAATGAAGGATTTAAGGTTTTTTTTCTTGAGTAAAGGATTTTATCCTAGATTTTTCTCAAACTAAAGAGGGTTAAAGTTATCATTGAATATTTAATGTACATCACCAAAGAACCACACTTTTCATCTGATAAAATAGGCTACAAGAACTAAGGTTTCAAATCTTAATCCTGGACTTCGCACTGGTCCTTTCTCTGGAGTCTGGACCTGTAAGAACCCCACCATACTGACAGGTAAATTGGCCAGTGCCAAAACAAAAAAAAGAAGGCAAAGAACGGAGGAAGATAGACCTTTATTCTTCTCTCCGCCTCTTCTCGTGCCAGCAAAGGTCGATATTCTAACTGACTCCTCATTTCTCCCTTTTCTTCTTCTCTTGCTGCCATCTTGGTTGGGATCATACAGGAGGGGGGGAATTTCAAGAGAGGATTGTGAATTTGCAATCATGAAGAGGTGCTGAGGCTATCTTTTTGAAATTTGCACCATTTTTATCAAAAGATATTTTGATCATTGAAATATATGAAATCTTGACTGTTCTAAGGCCATATGATGTAGTTTAAGACAAATTAAGGCATTCTGATCAGTGCTGATTGGTCCATAATTCTATCCATGCTTTGATTGGAAGTTTTGTGCAGACTGCACCTATCTGATATTTGATCTTGAACCATGACCATTATAAAGTTTTAATGCAATTCTGCGAGTCTGCTTACCCAACTACCATAAATCAAAAGCATTCTGTGCAACTCTTTGTTGATCCTCCTCTTGGATCTCTTAAAAGTAACATGGATGCTTTATTTCTGTCATTTGAGGTTCTAGTTTACCTTTTATATGAAAGTATAAAAGCTAATGTATTGTTTTCTTTTTGTCCAGACTAACAATGCCCATAGTTGGACATGCATGGATCTTTATGTCTTTGCCACTCCCTACCGCGTGACATGGGATTACTACTTATTGTCACGGGAACATACTCTTGATTTTCATGAGTGGGAGGGAGAAGCTGAATATGAATATGTAAGTTGTTTCCATATCTTTTAACATTGGATGGAAAGATTTATATGTTGTAAAAGGCTATAACTCCTGACTTCCAGTAAATTGTTTTTGGTAATACTTTTGCGATATCAGGTAAAACATAATGGTGTGTCAATTTTTCTTATGGAATCTGGGATGATTGGAACTCTTCGGGCCATGTGGGATGTTTTTCCTTTATTTACAAATACTGGATGGGGTGAAAGCTCAAATCTTGCTTTCCTGAAAAAGCATATGGGGGCTACATTTGAGGAACGACCCCAACCATGGATTTCAAGTATCAATACCGATGATATTCACTCAGGGGACTTCTTGGCTATATCAAAGATCCGTGGCCGTTGGGGTGGCTTTGAGACTTTAGAAAAGTGGGTCACTGGGGCCTATGCTGGTCATACTGCAGTTTGCCTAAGGGATTCTGAAGGAAAACTTTGGGTTGGCGAGTCAGGCAATGAGAATGACAAGGTTAGATTTAATTTATTTCTACAACAGTTCTACATTTTATCCGTATGAATGTTTCGTGTCATATTTTTTTATATTTATCTGTGTTGCTTATCATCGATCCTTCATGTTATACATGTAGTGTTGTAATGTTACAAAAAGATTTAAACAATGCCATCCTATGGTTGCATGTTCTATAACAAGCATTTCAGATAGGTTTGTTGTCTCTTTGTTCAAGATGTTTACCGAACAAATCTACTATTGATTTTTGAACTTAAAGTTAAGTTTACCTCAGAATAATTGAGCTTCTCTCATGAGTTCCATTCACCAAGTTTGACTGTGATCATTTGCCATGTCAATCAGATGATAAGATGTGCCTATGTAGAGGAGTTTATGAACTTCTTTACAGATACTTGAATCTTGTTACACCACTTAAACAGTTAAACCTATGTTTTCTGTTCTAAGTTGAGAAAAATTGCTTGTTAATGGAAATAAAAAGTGTACTTCGCATGGTTGTGTACAGAGCTATAGGCTGAAGGTCTTCAGGGCCTTCTTGATAGATAATAAAATTTTACTATTTAAGCCTACTTGTTCTCGTGTACATTGTTTTAGTTGAGAATTACATTTTTTAAAGAAGAATTAATGAAAAATTCACACATCTGTCATTACTTGGATTCTGGACAATCTTAAATCTCAAATCATATGCACATGTGTCCTGAGTTTCTTTTTTAAATATGTGCTGGATAAACTATAAAAAAATTTGAGAAGCAAAAATTTGCAATAGAACTTTCTAACAGTGACATATATATTAATGTTTTTCAGTTTACGTAGTAGTAGTACTTGGTCTATTTAATTTGTTTGAGCTATCTAAACGCAAAGTTCTTAAGGTCAAAGATTTTCTGCTAACTGGTATGATATTGCTGTTATTTAGGGGCATACAAGCACTCAAATTTGTTATATATAGTTTCTGTACTATGACATCAGTTGTAGAATAGCAGTTTTTCTTCTTTATCTAATTATCGTGGACCCAATTACTTCTTTATAGGGAGAAGATGTAATAGCTATTCTACCATGGGAGGAATGGTGGGAGTTTGAGCTTACCAAAGATGATTCAAATCCACATATTTCATTGCTTCCTCTTCATCCAGATGTGAGAGCAAAATTTAATAATACTGCAGCTTGGGAGTATGGAAAAAGCATGTTAGATAAGCCTTATGGTTATCATAATATGATCTTCAGTTGGATAGATACTATAAGCGATAACTATCCACCGCCCCTAGATTCACATGTGGTATGTTATTTGCTAATTCCATACTTTGAAGCCTATGTCCTTAATTTGAGCCCTTTTGTGCTTACTTTTATCAAATACAACTTTATTAGGTTAATTGTGGTTGCTGCACCTGGTTGTCATTGATAATTGATAATTTTGTCATTCTTATGAAGTTTGTGCATCTGGCCATAGCTAATTTTTTTAGTCTGTGTAAGAACGTTGGTATGGACTCATTCTTTAATGCATTAATTCACTGAAAATGATATATCATTGATTATAGTGGATTCAATCATGTGTTTTCTTTAAGCAATATCTTGATTTATAAAGCGGAATATGAGAAGTTTTGTTCTTTCTTGAAAGGTCTGGGGTACTCGTTTCTTCTAGACTTTCTTGGCTTCTATTGGATTTTGGATGTTTGCATATATTGTCCTTGAAAGGATTGCTAGCACACTGACCTTGTAGCTGTCTAGGCAAGTCCATCTCAGTATTTATAATATTTGAATTGGATTTGGCATCCTTGATCCAAATATTTTGTAGATTATAGTTGAATTAAACAAACAATCAGCCTTGTTGGCCACCGTTTGTTGACGATAGAAGGGATCAATATTGGTTATTTAAAGAATTGGGATTGTCATCTGGTGAAATTGAGCTCTTTGAATTGGCAGATTGGGAATAGAGCCAAAAATGGTTTAAAAGTAGGGGTGAAAATATATCAGATAGAGTTACAATATTGAGAGGACAATATCTATGTCTACTTTTAGCTAGTGGATACAAGCTACAGCCGAAGCAAGAAGAAAAGAAACAAACTACAGCTGAAGCAAGAAGGGAAGGAACAAACTACAGCTGAAAAGCCATAGCACACTATGTAATTATACAGACTGATTTATCTTTCAATAGTATGTGCGTTGGATTCTCAATCTTATTATGATTATTCTATTCATGGTTTACTAGCTTTTTCTTTGCGTATGAACTGAAATTTGTTCCCACCATAAGGCTTGTGTATCTACTCATGTCATATGCATCTGTATTGAATATTTATTGTTGGTCGCAAACTGTGATGCTATCAGTTATATTCTTCATAAGGATTCCTAGACAGTCATGATTGATCTATATTATTCTTATGTAAATTTTTTCTATTGAAGTGTAGTAGACTTTATGCTAATGGTTCTTCACTTTAAAATTACTTTCTAATGCTAATGTTGATGCTATAGGTGGCTTCTGTGATGACAATGTGGAATAAGATCCAGCCAGCCTATGCTGCAAATATGTGGAATGAAGCCCTGAACAAGCGACTTGGAACCCAGGTTTGTTGTTTGCATCATGTTGGAACATAGTTTTCCTTTCTGCACTATTAGTGTCATTTTCCTGTTCAACAGATCTATGTATTGAACTGAGAGGAGTTTTTTTTCTTTATATCACAATTTCTCTTCTTTAGGCCAAAAGTATGTTAAATAGCCCAGTCCTTCAGATTATGACCTAGATTTTTCACTTCCAAGAATGTCTACTAAATGTTGATGAAAAACACGTTGTTCACCTATGTTTAATGAGAATAAAAAGGCATGTGGTAAAAAATCTTCATAGTTGTTCTTAATATTTTGACATGCTTAAAGGAGAATGTCAACATTAAATTTTGTTGAAGTTTTGGTGAGAAAACCAGTTGGTTAATATTTCTACATACTCATTTGACGCTACATACCTTTTTCTGGAACATTTTAAACAACAAAAGAAAAATAGCAAGAATGTTTAACAATGTAACAGATAAGGTTATAAGGTGCAGTTTTACCGCAAAAAGTTGAGTATGTGAAGAAGTAACCACGTAGGATAGCTTCCCCACCCTCCTTTTCTCTAGGCATATCATCTAACATTTATAGTCTTGGTAAAGTATAAGTGAACTATTTCTTTTAGATTGACATTGTCTTCTGTAGAACTTATATTGCAATATACTTTTTGTGGCATGGCTCTAAATACTGTCCGAACCAGTCCATACCGGATGGCATTTATCCGTCCGATGACAAATTGACAACCCTTTTTGGGCCGTCCAATCCAGTTCTTTTTTTTTTGTTCGACCAGCGATCAATACAGGTACAGTGCTCGAGGCTTTAAAGCCATGCTTTGTAGAACTAAAAGAAATTTCTAATTACGTGGATTTAACCCAAATATGCTGATTCCAGCATCAAGGATTAAGCTTCAACGAGAGCACTAAGTTCTGATGTTGGTTCCATCTATGCTTGTCATTCCTTCCCTCCCTCCTGACATTTTGCTAGAATTCTACAGTTTGTGATATAATTATCAATCTTTGCACTTAACCTTAGAGGGATTGGTTGAATCATTGCACAACTTTAAGGTACTAGGAATAGCATGCAACAGGACATCTCTTCTATTTCGTTATGTTAATTACGTTCAGATCTGAGCTCTTCTAGGTTCAAAATCTGCCCTTTCTCCTTACAATGTCATATTTCAAAATCTGCCCTTTATATCTTGCCTAGACACACTTATAAATTAGTGAACGTTGAGTTTTTCTTTGTGTATTCATCAACTTTGGTAAAATTGATATGCAGGGTCTCGATCTGCCTGAAATTATTGTTGAAGCAGAAAAGAATGGAACATCCTTTGATAACTTGTTGACAATTCCTGAACAAGACGATTGGGTCTACACCGATGGGAAATCAACCTCATGTGTGGCTTTCATTCTTGAAATGTACAAGGCAGCAGGATTGTTTGGTTCAAATGCCAGCTCCATTCAAGTTACCGAGTTTACCGTAAGTCCACTTGACTTGTTGGAGCAACTGTCATTATGTGTTTTTTGTCATCTCCCAAAAGCTCCCCCGTTATATAACTTTTTTTTCTTGGTGTAAATTAAACTGCACGTAGTTATGTACTTATAATCTATCGCTAATCTGCAGTGATATTTCAAAATGTCACTCTGTGCTTTCTAGTTCCAGCTAATTCTCCATGCCATGCAGATCAAAGATGCCTATACCCTCAACTTTTTCGAGAGCAACTCGAGCCGTCTGCCAAAGTGGTGTAACAAAGATGACAACGTGAAGCTTCCTTACTGTCAAATCAAGGGTAGATATCGAATGGAGTTACCAGGTTACAATACCATGCAGCCATACCCACACATGAACGAAAACTGCGCCTCCCTGCCACCATATTATTCCAGGACCAAGGACTGCTGAAACTGCTTCTCATCTCACCACACGTCGACGGGCCTATGCTACCTTCTCTGCTGTTATTTCATGTTCTTCCTACTTGTATATATAGGAGTGGCATGCAGGTCAATTGATGAAGTACTGGAAAAGACTGTATAGTAAAGCCTGATTGCTCCTGTTGGAAATTGTTGTTTAGTGGTAAAGACGGCGAGTAATTATGGCTGTGTATAAATTGATAAAAGCTATGGTTAAATGCAGATCGAATCTAAGAACATATATTGTTGTTGTGCAGTGTATAATGGATTATCTTGTTTCTGTTCTAAGTGTTGGATATGTGTCCATCTTGAGCTAACATTTTCATACATCTGCCAGATAATAAGATTGAAAGCCAAAAGAATGCCATGAGTAAATAATGATTTGAATACTTTTCATGAGTGAAAAAAATCAAAAGACATTGAGTAAGATACACTCAGCAAAGCTTTGAGGAGAATTCTGTTTTCATATATTATTTAGATGGTATGTATTTGATGAGTAAAACCATATTTGTTTTTTTTTACACCAAATCCCTTTTTGTTTAAAATAATTTAAGAAACTTAGTATAATAATCAAAAATAAAAACAAAATGGTAATATATCAGTATCAAGCTAAATGATTGACTGTCGATACTTGATTGAGTCGATAGGTAAATCCCGATCCGTATATATCAATCCAATCAGTATCTAAAACCAGTAGAAAAGCTTTTATAATTACCCATCTACTTCACTGCTTAGTATTGCATTTGCAGAATTTAGACTCAGATATGCTTCTTCCTACAAACTTGCAAAGCATCATCATCACAAACTGGATTACAATCATAAATATGTCATCACAAACAAATCACTGTCATAACAGCACAATGAGATCCACATCTCAACAAACCGAAATATCCAACAAACCAAAATATCCCAACTACTTGAGATCGGCTATATGAATTTTTTTTCCACCATTGAGCTCCTCAAGTAAAAATATTGTAAGAAATTAAACCAAATAATTTTTTTCTGCAATGCTCACTCCTAACAACTCCACACCTCTCCTGCTGTGAAAATATCTCATTGGGAAGCTTGCACAAAGAGACTATCAACCAAATAGCTTTGATCCAGCCTCTCATTTTAAGTCTGTTACTGCTTCCAAATACCGCAACCTTCCAATAAAATCCAAGTTTAGTAGCCCCAGCGACGAGCTCGTGGCGGCATTTTGTTCCTGCTACCGGATGGGGTGGTATTGAGCTGATACTCGCTTGGGAGGAAGCTTCCGAAGTATGTAAAGAACAAGTGCCGAGGGGAGTATTTCGGTGAGCTGTCGAAACAACAATCATGTTCTTATATGGTTATAACAAATAACCATCTTTATGAAACTTTAGATTTAACATACCATGTAATATATGAGGTCTAATATGGGATGATCCAGAACCACGAGAGATGCCTCTGCATCAAATGCAGATAAACCGACCTACAATCAAGGAGCAAAATCATGTAGACAAGCATGAGTATATGAATTGTAGTTCTCAAAGCAACAGTGTGGAGACTATTTGATAGCAGCTCTAAGAATCAGCTTGCAAAGATATGGACACAAAATACTAAACATGACCAAACTATGAACAGGACGAAGTAACCTGACTGCAAAATTATCTAGAAAGCCACACATGAATAATAAATGAAAACAATAATAAGGCTTCCTATTGTGGCAATAACAGAAAACCTTAGTTTTCAGATGTAGGAGACTTGCATATGTTCATTTCCTTTATGGCTCTACGAATGTCTAGTCCACCAGTAATCCAGTGGCATCACTTCTCTATGGATATTTATTTGAACTTGGTTTGTACATGCATTTCACCTTGGTTTGATTCAAACTCAAAACGATTTACTTGATACTGCTATTGCTGAAGCATATTAACTACAAATTGACAAGTTCCAAAAACAGAACCATAGCATAACTTGAATACCATTTGAATGAAAATAATTAGACTGGAGTGCAATTTTAGATCAGAAATCACAATTTCTAATAGCAGTCATTCACAATAAACAAGAAAATTGCCATTATTTTGATACTTTTCATTCAGAAGCACAAATAAACAGATATATGCAAATTATCTTGCCATTGTATATCTGAGGTGTCAGAAATACAACAACATTTCAAAAACTTTATGAGCAGCAATTTGCAGGTATTGTTCGAGATATTTACTTACCATAAAGCATCGTATAAGAAAGCAGGTGAAACATATAGCTGTGACAGATCCAACCTGTGTCACATTCCACATTCCTAATTAGTGTATGATATAAAGAGAAAATAACAACAAGAAAGTAGGTTCCATAGTCTCAGTGGAAGCAACAGCAAGCTGCTTTTATTCGGTCAAGTGGCAGAAATCAATGCTGTAGACTGCCCCAACAATGAATTTTTGACTGGAAATCTGGGTGATGACTTTGTTGTCAGCCACATAGGGCTTCGAGAGAGCTTTTTGGAGTGGGTCATAATAGTGATACTAAGTTTGTCCGAGAAGGTCATGATGATTTCAGTGTGACGGCTCAAATTGGCACCTTGCAACCCAATGCCCCTCCATCTGGAGTGATTCAGATGGTCAAATTGGCCCCTTGCTACCCAATGCCCCTCCATCTGGGCCGATTGGGATGGTCAAAGTCAGAGGTACATGTTATGGGATCCGGAGAAGCGACCCACACTACAAAGCCACTTATATGGTTGGTACTTCTTACATCTATTAAGTAATTGTTCAAAAGAAGTACCTCATGAAGTTTCTTTCTCCTTCCTTTTGATTCAATCGGGAACCTCCTTAGCATGAGAAACAGCCTAAGCAGAAAAAAGAAAGAAAATAAGACCGTGAAGAATGCTAAGTAAATGATAAAGACATCTTTGCAAACAGAAGTTTGCTTCACATTGTTACCTGCCTCCATATACCAAGAATCCAAGTGCAGCTATAAATGATACCGCTGAAATTATAGATGTGTAAGCATTATCATAGTAATGAGAAGACAAAAAAAATCAAGTCGTGAAATGTGAAGATTAGGTTACCTGCTATAAAGATCTTTCCGACTAACTCGATTATGCTGTTGTCATTTATCCAGAGGTATATCCATAAACAAACCTGATATAGATTTTCATAAGTACTGAAAGAAAGTGAAAGAAGATGCAATAAATTGTGGTAGCTTTGAACTCATATGTGATCTGAGTATCTTTAATCACTTTCTTTTCTTAAGATGGTAACAAAAGAATATTTCTTAAGGTGATAATGTCTAAACTTTAAAGATATAACTTATAAAACATTGTTAGCATTTGCCAAAATGAGGGAAACCAGAGTGAAGAATACTATATCGAAAGCTAAATAAATTGATTGTGAGTCAATATATCCATCGTCAAAATAAGATTCTTTCACATGTGATTAATTTATATAAAAACAGAGGGGTTCCACACAGGTACAAGAACATTTATCAGATTAACCACAGAAACAAATTATATGAAAGAAAAAGAAGTATCAAGTATCAGCATCAGAGTATGCACAAACCTGAATAACATATATCACAATATTAACACAGATGTATGCAATCCTCAGCTTGTTTGTTGGAAGACTTCTCGCCTGAGAATTAAAGAAAATATCTTGTTAAGATTCTGAGTGAATCCTATGAACACAACACCTATTCAGGCATATGAAAAAGAAATACTTATCAAACTTGCCTGATGGTAGATCTCTGCCCAGAACAGGACAAGCAGCGTATACGTAGAGAAGAATAACAAACCAGGAAGATCTAACAGTGTGAGAGTAAATACCTGGTAGAATAACAAATGGTACAGATCAGTTGTTGAATGTTAGTAACAATTCCAATTGAAGTTTTTTCTTTCAATTGAGACATAGGAAGCATGATGCAGTACAGGAATAGATCACAGTTAGATCTCAAATTGACCCAGACTGGATTAATAAAATTTAGAAAAAATTGTCATAACTTTGCCTAGAAGGCTGCAAACTGCATACAGTTAATGTGTTGGAAACTTGGCTTGGGGTTTCTCTAATGAACACTAAAATACATTTTAGATAAATGCATAGAAAAGAGAGGTCTCAAGTTCAAGTCACCAAGTTTCAAGACATCAAGTTTGAAGCTACCAAAATCCAAGCTATCAATTTTCAAGCTAATAAGTTTCATGGCAGAATGAACTAATGATGTCTTGTAATTTGCCTTTGCAAATTGAGTCAATTAATTATGTTTGTGATGGCTAAGGTCATTAATGTAAACATTTATAAAAGGAGAGAGGACAGGGATTGTGAGCCAATCTAGGATTGTCTCATATGAATTTATGAATTTCTATTGAGAACTTAGTTATCCAAAGAAAAAAGATATCTAGTATCCCAAATTCTCTCTCATTCTCTTCTTGTTCCACATCAATAATCTTGTTGGCAAAGAAAACAATTACCAACTACTCATCACCTGACAAAGTTTAACAGAATGCTAAACACACAAGCAGCTAGGAACAAGAAGTATGATAATATATACAAAAGTTTAAAATTTCCTTATGATAATATATAAAACAGTATAATTTTGTGCTGATTAAAAGTCCTACTTTGGGTTAAATCACTATAGGTATGACGAAAGGCGTCGAAGCCAAGGATATATTTTGAGGGGGGGTATTAATCTTCTGAAGAGCATTAGAAAATTTTGGTGAAAACATCGCTGCATAAATAACAACCTGAGTCATAGATCTACTACAGCAATAATATATAGATCATGTAGCCAAAAATGCTAAAACTCGACCGGTAGTTTTTGTTCTATAACTTGCTACAACAAATTTGTGAAAACAAGAGTTCTTGATGAAGTCGTTGGAAAATATAAATTCCTTCGTTCACACAAGCGCATGACAAGATATGCCATGAATTCATGTTGCGTAGACATGCATATTAGTTACCAATATGCATTACTCAGCATAAAATCATGGTTTTAAAATTTGGTTGGTAAGGTAAACACCGATTGGTATTTACCAGTTTGTGCAAGGACAAGTATCAGACATACGATCTGGTACCTCTTGGAGGAGGCCTTTGCCTGAACCAGAGAATCCTACTGAGCCATATATAATATTGAAGATTTGAGTTACAACTCCCCTTATCGATATGATTGTGACAAAAATATCTTGAGTAACATACTTGGTTCTCACTATAGAGATGTTCTTATCATAAAAGGAAAAATTGAAAAGCTTTATAGTATCATGAATCAGGTAATGTATGTGCTCTGTTAACATTTTGTTTTCTCTTGATTTCTCATAGCAATATATTTTCCTTTAGCCCTAATATCAGTTCATTTACATGATCCTTTATCAACTTAGAAATCCAAATGTCCCATAAAACATGTAGTTGATTGCACATAGCAACAAATCAATCTTGGAACGCATTTACCCTAGGCCGGAAAAGAAATACTTGAGCATGAAATCCAAACTCCACAGCACGTACTGCAACAATGACATAAGCATCAGTAATTGTTAAATGGAAATGAAATTATAAGTTACAGTGATCAAGTAGTTCCATTCACCTCCATTTACAATAAAATTCATGAAATGGAAAATCTTCTGCGTTGTCCAACCATATTCAGGCACTCGTAGCTGGATTCGTATCAATTGAACCTGAAAAAATTATAGAGGTTATGAGCTCTGAAATCCAACCAAAATATTCTGCTGAAAGGCCGATGGGACTTCTTGAGATTACCAACAAAAATTGAAAGAAAATAAATATTTCAGATCATTTTTTTTTATTTTGAGGCAAAAATGGATTATATTGTCCGAATAATAATTTGTAAAAAGAACACGACCAAAGAATGGCCCCATCACCTGTTACCAACAGTAATAGGACTGCAGACAACTAACCCTACAAAAGCACAAAACAACAAGCAGGAAACAGTGAATACACCACCCAATCCTCAAACAACCGGCAATTATCCTCTCACAAGTTGTTTGATAGCACTTGATTCATTATCACAAGCCTCGACTTTCTTGGGAGGATTTATCCAATTTTTCAGAAAACAAACAATCTTATACCAATCATTGCTGCGTCTAAAGTCTCACCATCTGCTTGTCCAGATTTAAAAAAACCTTGAAAATTGTATTATTCGTCTGGTTCCTGTACCTTCTAAAATCTAACCAACTAGCAGAACAGAAAACTACCAGTCATATATCCTTTGAATAAAAAAAGAGAGATGATATTCTAGAATCCATGGAACCGGATAGAGGAAATTTATACAGATAACTAATCAGGTGTTTTAAGGTCAAACAAATTTCAAATTGCATCAGAAAATAAACTTCTGGAGACTAAACTTTAGCAAAAGAAGTCACAAATTTTATGAGCTAAACATAATTTCGAAAACGAAAGCAGCTCACATCCCTCCGTAGCAACAACAAAATCCCAAATTGAAACAAGCAAATCACATAAACAGATGATAAAAAGATAGGGGAAAGGAGGTTGTGACCAGAGCGACGCAGGAGACAAGTGCGTAGGCAGAGCAGAGGAAGTAGAACACGCCGTCCTGCCACCGGTCCGACTCGTTGATCTCATCCCACCAGCTCGAGAGCCTCCCAGCCGCCAAGCTCAATTCCTCCATCATCGAGATCGATACAATCTCTCTCCTCCCTCAAAATCCAACAGATCAAATGAACCAAAATCAAAATTTTGCGAGGCCAGGAGAGAAACCCTCGACTCCCCGATTCAATTACGCGGCAGTAATTGAATCGCCTTAGATGCCAAAGGATGGCGAAAGGGGGTTGGTCGGCAGTAAGATGAGACCTGAGGCCACAAACGTTGTATTGACCCTTATGGACTATGCTACTCACGTTATTACCATGCGTTCAAGTGACATTTTGTGAAGGACAAGGGTATTTTAGTCATTTGATTGTATAGGAGAAGACTGCAATCAGCGTCGGACAGCATCTTTTACAGTTCCGCGCGGGAATAGTGGGATCCGATGACGTGATTTACCAAAAAGCCCTCAGGCTTTACGTGTGCTGTTCTGCTGTCCGTGCGACGACAGCGTTCAGCTTGTCAGCAGGAACATTAAGAAATTGATCTATTTTTCTTTTTCTAATTAAAATTCAGTAGGCACAAAAGAAATATATTTGGTGATACAGCAGACAGGATTAATGTGAAGTTAAATAATGTCAATATCAAAATTCAAATAATAATCAATCGGATTCATATTTGCCAAGGTAAAAGTATATTAATTAGATACCAAATTCAATTCTAAAATTTATAGGTTATCCATCAAACCTAATATATCTAATCTAATTTTTGAATATATGAATATTTATTTAATATAGTACTTGAATAGAAGAAACAAATTATATATCAACGAGTGAAGTTTCATTATTTACATATAAATTGATATATATATATATATATGAATTATCAATTGAATGTTCTATTTCTATGTAAAATAAAACTATATATTATAAATAAATATATGAAATTATTATAATAAATTTGAATTCATCACCTCCCATTTCAATGAATTTTGTGTTTGTTCATCTATATTTAAGTTTAGCACATATAAAATTGGAACTCTAATTAACATTAAGTATCTTTTGAAATCTTCATATAATGATAAAAAAAATAATTAATTGTAGATTACCCTCTATACTTGGATCCTATTAACATCATGATTTTTATACTTAAAAAAATTACATTATGATCCTTATAGTTTTGAAAATCAAACAAGTAATCTCAATTGACCTAACATTATTAATTGTATTGACAAAAGAACATAACATATGACACCATGGATTGATGTAAAAATGATAGAAATATAATAATTTTAATATTTCTTTCATTTCTAATAATTTTATCGAAAAAAATAGTTTTAATATTCTAAAAAACATAAAAAAATGTTAAATTTTATTTATTATTTTCGTATCAATCCAACCATTAATGCACCTGACTATTTTAGGACAAAGGAGGTTATTTGTTTCATTTTTGAAATTAGAATGCGTGACTTAAATCGTTTCATGATACGACCCACCTCGCGGCTTTAAAATGAGTCCTTCAATTAATCCCATGAATAACACATGAGTTTTATGATAATCGATGCGATCTTTCAATAGCCCAATCATGACTCGATGGGTCCATTTAAGATGGTAGCTTTTATCATTCACATTACCTTTATATCATGTCACGGTTGATTACGATGATAAATATTATCTTTATACGCTCTAGATACGATTTCAGTCACGATCTAGAGACGCGTATCATTCCCGCCAATTAGATTAAAATATAACGGCGAAATAATATTATAATTCGGGCTAATGTTCCATGTGGGCCCCTGGAGAAAAACGAGTGAAGAACGAAGAAAGCACGTTCGGTTGACTCGGTCAACCACTAACCCGTGAGCACACGCCGGTCAACGAGATGGTAGATGAGTGGAAGTCGCTCCCTTCATGCCTGAAAGGACGAAAAGGCCCTCCCAGGAATCTCTCCTGGCACATTAACGCCCGTTCTGCCGGGGTCAATGGAGTCAAATGAAGTCGGTGAGGGCCCACCGATGCTTTCCCTGTCGTTCACGGATTACGCGTCTTGTCTACCTACTCTGTGATTGGAAGTCAGACTGGACCCGCTTTAGCAGGTTGAGATGGTGTAGAGGCAAACGTGCCAGTCGAATCCGAAACGGTTGTTGAGATGGATAACGGAACGGAAAGGAAAGGCCACCCCTCCACTCCCTCTCCGTATATATATAGTCGAGTCGTTCTGTTCTCATCCCCCACCATTGTCGTAATCTTTCGAGGGGGAAGACGAGCGAAAACGCCTCAACAACTCTATTCTAACACATCACATCAGCCACGACAAGCCCCCTTCTTCTTCTTCGTCGATCCCTAACCCTCGTCGGCTCTGAGTCGTCATGGGGGAAAGGAAGAGGCACAACGGCAGCTTCCTCTGTTTCGCTGTTGTGGTTCCTGAGGACGAGGTGGAGCCGCGCTGCGGTGATGTTGAACCGAATAAGGGAAGCTACCCCCGGCGGCGCTGGAGGAGTCGGATTCTTGCCAGGATTTTTCGGTCATCGGCTTCGGGTGCCTCTCTGGTGCGGGATCCTTTCTTGAATTTGATGCGACAACCGGCGCAAATTGGTCTTTTTTGTTCCTTTGTTGATTTCTTGTGGATGAATTGATTTCAGAATCGTGGAGAGAAAGAGGAAAAGGAGCCGAAATTGGATTCATCAGATCGGAAATTGGCGGATGACGACGACGAGAGGGCAGCATCGATCTTTTCCTCTTCCTCATATTCCGCCTCGTCGTTGTCTTCTTCTTCTTGTTCTTCTTCTTCCTCCACTTCCTCTCGCTTGTCGCTGGCGAGCTTGGTGGCGCTCCGGGAGTCCGCGGTGCCGAGGGCACGGCAGAAGATGACACCACCTCCCAGAAAGGCCCCGCTGGGGCCAGCGAGAAATAGAGGTGGGGCCACGGGGATCTTTCTGCTCGTAGCGAGCCTCTCGGTGATGGTCTTTTGGGGCCGGCTTTGCTCGATCATGTGCACGTCGTCGTGGCTCTTCTTCGTCGCGTGCCAGTTCTCCAGCGGCAGACCAGCAACGACCGCAAAGGAGGTGAAGGATTGGACGCCGTCGGCGGAGCTCCACCGGAGGAGGATTCTGGTGGAGCAGGCGATGGAGAAGAAGCGGGTCGTCTTGGAGGGCCTCTTGCAAAGAAACCAAAAAATAACAAATAAATATTAAATTTAGAAATATTCAAACTGGTTATTAAAGACTCACAAAAATAGTCTTTTTTTTTTGTGTGCAAATGCACTGATTGCACATCGAGACGATGGTGTCTTTATATTTTCTTTTTCTTTTATATTTTTCATCGTAATATAGTGTCAATATTGTATTTTATTGAGTAACAGCATTACAGAGAACACGGAAAGATTTGATGATCAATAAAAAATACTAAATAATGATAAATTAGATGATATTATCTTTATTATGATAAGATCATTTAGTTCCACATTGAAAAGTATTAGAACAAAATAAAAGACTCATAAGTCCGTCAAGTCTTCTTTATCCTCGTATGCGACGTCTATAAAAGGATAAAATTATATTACGTTTATAAAAAGATAAAATCGTATAGATCGAAGTAAGTAATTATATATATATATATATATATAATTTTGTCATATATCAATTTAAAAGGATGTATACGTAAGTTTGTTTTTATATACGCAACCTCACCATTTATTTATATATCCGATTTAGTGGAGTTCGTTTTCCCCAATCGAAGAGTATGAGGTGTTGTTGTTCGGTAGCTGCGGTCCGCACTCACCATCTCTTCACGTTCTCCCTTTCCATCTCCTCCACTCGACGCCTCCTCTCCAAATCCCCCGCCGCCGCTGCCGCCTCTTACTCCTCGAATGCAATCCTAACCCTAGCCGTCGATCCCCACCGACCCTTATCTTTCCTGTACGGTCCGTCCCTTCGCGGCGGCCGCGTCCCGGAACCACAGTCGTCGCCGCCGGATTCCGAGGCGGACGATGACGGCGGCGGAGGCAGCTCTTTCGACAGGGCGAGCTTCTCCCGCGTCTATGATGTCGCCGCCCTTAGGGTCCCCGCGGAGGAGTGCTCCGCCCTCGAGCGCCGCCTCCGCGGCCACCTCCTCAACTGGCCCCGTGTCCGCAACGTCGCTAGGGTTCCTGGCGATGACGTGGACCCCGAGATCAGGAGGATGCTTCGAGATGCCGAAGGGGACGGCGGGTCTCGGCTTAATTCGCTGGCAGCGAGGGCGGACGGGAGACCGGACGACGAGAAGATGGCACTGAGTCCGGTGCTGTACAGGGAGAAGCTCGTGAAGGAGTTCAATTTCCGTGGGTTCTTGAAGTTCAGGAATCTGGCGAAGATGTCGCGGCCAAAGAAGAAGAAATTGAAGAGTAAGGATGGGGTTGATGGAGTGACGAAGAGTATTGGAAAGAATGATTTTGCTGTTATTGAAGTGATTGAAGGAGATGAAGAGGAGGGAGAGGATTTGAGTGGTTTGCTTGGAGATGACTTCAAAGGATTGAGGTGGAGAGGTCCTACTAGGTTGCTGCTCTTGGATCAGCGACATGCCAAGAAACCTGTGGCTGAGCTCCCGGAAGCCGTCAAGGTGCCTACGATTGGTTTGTGAGTCCTGTTTTAGTTTGATGATAGTGACTGATTCCTTTGTTAGTCCTTCTGTTTTAGTTTAATGGTACAGTACATATTTTAGTTTCATTCTGATTTATACTAGTTGTATCACCAAGGAAAAACTTGTTTGATTAGCTTGAACAGAACTTGACAGTGCATTGCAAGCCCCCTAAAGTAAAAAAAGTTGTTTGATTATCCCTTTAATTGCATCAGTTTGCATTACATTCAACTCTCTGTTAAAGAATGGAGTATCTGCTCCATTAGCTAAAAAAAAATGAAATGTGACAGTTACATTCCTTCGTGCAGTTGCCATTTAGGAGATGTTTTCAGTGCACCATGGAGTCACATTAGCATTCTAGGCTAGGATAGTCTAGTGGTTTCCAGGATTGTGATCTGGGCAGTATCAGGGTGCAAGTAGCAATGGTCAACTTAGTTGCTTTTAGTACATCTCAGTATAATTTACTAGTTTCTGTGTCATTTTTAGGGAAAAAAGGTATATATCACTGAGTTGAGTATTAAAGTTCCACTTGGTCATCTTTTTGTGAAATATCTGGTTCCTAGAAAAGAGGATTGCTTGCTGCCCTCATTGATATAGATTTATTGAGGAATTCTGAGAAGAATAGAGTCATGTTCTGAGATTACTATGAGACTGTAGAACTTTCAAGATGCTACAAGTACAGACTCTGTTGCAACTGTTGTGCTGTTGCTTCATAGGACCATTTGGCATCACTAGAAAAATTCAATGATTATTTGCAGAAGAGTTATAAGTACTTCACTTATCTTTCCATGTCACAATTGAGAAGTTGGTTTGGAGTGGCAGGATTTTAAGTCCACATGGTAACATGGTATGCCATTGGAGAAAGTGTTTGATGCATGATGAGTGATACTCAGAACATAGAGTGACACCGCAGGCAAAAGAAATTAAAAGAAAAGAAAAGAAAATCATGCTTAGCAAATATACAGAGTGCAAGTTTGTGTATGTGTGCTGCTGCCATTGCACTATGGAGCTGTCTCCGGGAGACATCCCTGTGGTGCTCGCCATATGTGTCGAAACTCCAGAAATTTGCTTGAGTAATTCATTTAGCTCCATTTTGCTTGTGGCTTTGTATATTTTAGAACACTGTTTCCGATCAAATTTTTAAATAGATATTTTATTGACTTTGAACCTGAAAATTGTTTTCATGCTAAGCTGAATAGATGTTGTCCTAAACATGTAGTGAATTATTTTATCTTTCCAGGCTGCCTTAAATTATGATCCACACCAGAGCAAGCCTTTAGCATTTGAGCTTGTGCAATGCCAGCTGACCTTATCTTATGACTATTGGCAGATGAGTGAGGTATATTTAAGTCTTTTGTACATATTCAAGATTCTGTTTTTGATAGATTGCTTATCCTTTGTAATCCCCTCATTTTTCTTTTTGTGATATCTTTTGCTCTTCAACATATTGAAGGTCTAAGCTGCCTTTTGCAGCTTCTTGAAGCCTTGCTACCTGACGGTATGACTATTCCCACTGGATTTGAAACGGTTGGGCATATTGCACACTTGAATTTACGAGACGAGCACCAATCTTACAAGAAGCTTATTGCACAGGTCTCAAGAAAATTTCCACAGATTTCATATTTAGCAATCAAATAATAAGGATTGTCCAGAATTTTGATGAGTTTCTCTTGTCCAGGTCGTCTTGGATAAGAACAAGCCAAAGATACAGACAGTAGTGAACAAAACTGATGCTATACAAAATGATTACAGAACCATGCAGCTTGAAGTATTGGCTGGCAATCATTCTCTTGTAACGACTGTTGTGGAGAATGGTATTCGTTTCCAAGTTGATCTAGGAACAGTGTATGATTCTCATTTTCATATTCATCTTGATTTGTATTAGAAGTATGCAATTTTTTTTGTAATTATTTGAAAATTGCCTCACTGATATACATGGGCTGAACACTAGACTCGTGTAAATCTTATGCAGGATTCAATTTCAATCAGTCAGTTATTTGAAGCATTAGAAAAAAGCTATTTGCAAGTTTACATGCTTATATTTCAGGTCCTCTTTTCGTTGTCAAAAGACCACACCAAATTCAGTAATGTAAAGCGTGAATGAAGTACATAAGACTGTCCTGTGAAGATCATTTTAGTGCAGCATGTTCTTTTGACTAATTGTTCCCTGTCAGGGGTTTCATGCAACAGCTTATAGAAATAAGATGACTAAATAAGATACAAAGACTGAAGAATTTAAGTTATATAGTTGAATAAAGTAGTGTAATCCAGTTTACAATTAACTATCAAAATTTCATGTTTCTGAGTAAATTTTTTTCATCAATCTTCATAAATCACCTTATTCTTTTCTTTAATATTGAGTTTCTTAATTTTCTTTAGTATTTAAGAAGTCATAGTCACTTCATTATGCCTTGTGATTAATTACAAAGATTAGGATCATCAATTTAACTATGTTTCTTCTTCCCGCTGCAGTTATTGGAACTCTAAGTTGGCAACTGAGAGGCAACGACTTATCGATAGTTTTGCAAGCTCTGATATAGTCTGTAAGTATCTCTTGGTTGTTTTGAGTTACTGGTGCTGTAATTGACTAAGTGCAAGTTGTTTAGGATACTCTTTAGATTTAATAATATGCTAATACTATGATATGCTATTTAGTTTTTTCCAACTGGTAATAAGTAAGATATGCAGCTTCTTGCTCGTTGCTTAAATATTTTAAATTAAAACTGTGCATGTGAATGTACCATCATAAAGATTGCTGTTCTTCTTTCATGTGTTTATATATAGATGTGTGTGTGTGTGTCACTGTTGTGTGGAAACATTAAAACACATATGAAGACCAAAAAAAGCTGGTTGAACATGTTATTTAATTAATTTGGTGAATTAAGTTATGCAATTAAATTCTTGCATCAAAGTTTAGCCATAATATCATATATTTTTTTGTTATGTCCTAATAGCCCCTTATTCAGTGATTATTGAGCTATTCAAGATCAATTACATGCATGTAGTTGTTGCATTTTGTGGATTTTGATCTCCATTGGTACATATTTGGTATGATTCACATCTCTTAACTCATCTGATAGGTAAGGGTATATGGTTGATACATGAGAATTTTTAGTTATATTTGGTTGATATATTGGATATGCAGTCATTAGATGATATTTCTTCATAGTTCCATATCATTTTAAACCCTCATGCAAGTTTGCCAATATCTGTTTTTGTGTTTGTGAAATTTCTTGTTGTTAAGTAGGTTCTATTTCGATGAACTTGTAGGAGCTAGACATGATAACACAATATATTTGGTTGATGAAAGATCTTAATTGTCAACAGTTCATTATTTCATTAGAATAGAAATTATAAATGCACGTATGACATGTTTATACATCAATGGACAGGTGATGTATTCTCTGGTGTTGGCCCAATAGCTATTTCTGCAGCAAAGAAAGTAAAGTATGTATTTGCCAATGATCTAAACCCCAATGCTGTGGAGTATCTTGAAAGAAACATTGTCCTCAATAGGCTTGAGAGAAAAGTGGAGGTATGATAAGCTATCATTTTCAAAGATTTGTAGTGATTGTTTTAATCCTCAAAATATTATGATCATGATTCAAATATATATATATATATATATATATATATAATATTTTGCCATTTTTAGCTACTATGTTGCTACAATACTGATGTGTACTGCTATCAAGTAACAGCAGTTATTTTTTGCACTATTGGCCTCTGTGAATGATGTATTTATAGACAAACACAACAAGTTCCCATAATATCCCAGCTTTTTTGGGGTGGTTGGAGTAAAGCATTTATTGAACATTCATAAATTAGAACTAATAACGAGTCATGTGAAATCATTTAATTTGTTAACCTTAGAGTTTAAAATGGTATTTCAAATTTCAATGTTTGACTAAATGGTTTCAGTGATATTTCAGCTTTTGCTGGTTGCGCTGTTAATCCAATTTTATGTTCTTATCAATTTAAAATGGTTTATTTGTGGCTAATTTGGAGCAACTTATTGTCTTTTGAGAACAATGTTCTACTGCCTGTTGAAAGAAACGAGATGGCTTTGACATTTATGTCATGCCTGTATGTATAGGACTGCCACTAGCAGCAGTTGTATATATTCACATTTGTAAAGCATGTTTAATGACTTCTCTAGTTCTTATTTATTGCGTTTTTGTTCTTTGCTTTCTGCATGTTACCATAATTTGGAGATAATTAATCAATTTTCTTAATGCTGCAAACTGGCATTTACAGGATACATAAACATCTCTAATTTATGTACTGCTCAGGTTTTCAACATGGATGGCAGGAGGTTCATCATTGCATTGTTTGCCAATCAACATCCTTATTCTATTACGCAAGTGGTTATGAATTTGCCAAATGATGCCGTGGAATTCTTAGGTATGTTTGTAATTAGCTTATTGTGTTGAGATTTTAAACATATCTGGCAATGCAATTTTTCTTATACATCCCTATTAAAAAAAGGTTAGCTAAATAGGAATCTCATATGATACTGTTGCTCAAAACATTGTACTCACACTTGACTAACATCATGGTGGTATATAATTGCCTCTTCAATTAGATTTCTTGTATATTGTTTGGTGGATCGATTTTTACCAGAAGCCAGAGCTGAACGATATACATCTTTCAAGATATCATCATGACTTGCTTCTGCTCAATTCTTGAATTTCTTATGTTAACAGATGCATTTAGAGGAATAGTCAGGAAGAAACCAAGGCCGGGTTGCTCTCCGCCGAAGATTCATGTATATGGATTTTCGAAGGCGCAGAATCCCGAGTATGATTTTCACGAGGTCAGGTTCCGCTTCTCCTGACCAGTAACTCCTTTCTCGACATCATTCTTGTGCTAATTCAAGTTAACTGGTTTTTGTACGCAGAGGATTAACATGGCACTGTGTGAGGAAGTCGTTGACCTAGAAATGCACAAGGTCCGCCTCGTTGCACCTGGAAAATGGATGCTCTGTGCATCATTTGTCTTACCGCAGGTTGCTGCTTCGGAGGCACAAACTGTTAGCACTAATAGATAGTCCATCCATTTTGTAGCTTGCATGTTGCATTTGCAGGATCTCAGTGCCTAAAGATGCCGGATCTATTGGCAGATGTATATAGATCGAGTCGATCTTTGAGTTGCGGCCAAGTCTTCAGGCCTATGGCTCTCACCTAATGTATGTAGACTTATGGTTCACACCTAATTGAGAAGGCACAAGACTTCCTAAGACAGAAGTCCCAAGAAAACAATTTGATCGCAGAATAGTGGAGGATAAATCATCACATAACAGTCTTTTTATTTTTATTTTCATGATTGTAATCATCCTTAATTCCATGGTCAATTAAATGCAAAATTTTAGTTCCTGACAGCAAAGAGTTTTGCAGTCTGTCAGCTGATATGGTATTTACATCACAAATTGATGTATATTTGGCATCTGTCTTCTCGTTTGATTCAATCTAAGTAATATATTGATGTCATATAATGATAATATCATCTTCTCAACATCATAACGTAAATTATGACAATATAATATACGATATTCCTATATTTTTAACTGAACATATGACTACTATTTGTAATTTCGGCTAAATACTTTATATAAAAATATTAGATCCGACACGACCAGCGACGTCGCGATGCAATTACCACCGCATGCTTTAAGATGCGTGGAGAGGGTCGGATTCCCTTCTAAGCCCCCCTCCAAAACCCTATCCGCCGCCCAGCGGCAAACTAAGCTTGAAGGATGAGTTTAAGCTTTCGAGTTCGCCTTTTCGTCCGCCGCTTCTCCTCCTCCACCGCTACCACGGTGGTGGGACCTAGCCCGGACCCTAACCCCCGTTCGTACACGGAGACGCTCGCCGTTACCATCAACAAACTCTCCAAGGAGCGCGACCCCGACAAGCTCGCCGCCGGCTTCATCGCCGCCTCCGCCTCCTACCGCTTCCGCTGCCGCCACCGCATCTATGAGATCGCCGTCCGCCGCCTCGAAAAGGCCGGCCGCCTTGACGCTGTCGAGGCCATCCTCGAGGCCCAGAAGCGGTTCCCCTCCGACCTCGCCCGCGAGGGCTTCGCCGTCCGCCTCATTTCCCTCTACGGCAAGGCCTCCATGGCCACCCACGCCGCCACTACCTTTCGCCAGCTTCCCGCCCTCGGAACCCCGCGCTCCGTCATGTCCTTCAATGCCCTCCTCACCGCGTTCGCTGACTCCGGCGATGTCGAGGGCCTGGTCGCCGCTTTCCGCGATATCCCTGCCGCTGACACCACCATCGTCCCGAATCTCATCTCCTACAACGTCCTCATCTGCGCCCTCTGCGAAAAAGGCGATCTTGATGCGGCCCTGGGTACGGTAGACCTCATGGAGAGGAATGGGATATCTCCTGATGTGATCACCTGCAACACCCTCCTGCATTGGTCCTACGAGAAGAAGGAACCTTCGGAAGCCGAAAAGATTTGGGCTTTGATGTGGAAGAAGAACATCGAGCCCAACACAAAAAGCTTCAACACGAAATTGAGGTGGCTGGTTTCAGAAGGGAGGACTGCGGAAGCAGCTAAGCTCGTCGACCAGTTGAACCACGTCGGGCTGCAGCCGGACGCTTTCTCCTTCAATGCGCTTATCAAAGGGTATTTCCAAGAAGGGAACTTGGAGGAGGCCAAGAGGCTGTTTTCAGATTTTGCGAAGAACCAATGCGCACCAAACAAGGGGACCTTTGAGATTATTATCCCTTACCTTTGTGAGGCCGGTGAGCTCGACTTGGCTCTAAAATGCTGCTATGATAGCATGAATACGCGGTGTTTTGTGGAAGCGGCAGTATTCCAGAGGGTGGTGAACGGATTGGCAAAGAGTTCGAGGATGGACGAGGCTACAAAGCTTGTGGATGTTGGAAGGAAGAATAATTATTCTAGGAAGAGCCTTCGGATTCCTTCAGCCAATTTGAGCTTGGCCGTATAGGGTAAGCCGCTTTTGTGCCTGTTTCGTCATAATTCATTTGCATGTTCTGCAACAATGCTTTAGATAGTCATATTCTTAATCATGAATTGATAAGTCTGATTGTAATTCTTCTTCGGATAATAGTGATAAATTGATACCTCTGATACTTAAAAGGAATGCTTTGTTCCCTGTTGCTATTGGTGCTGGTAATTTTTAGGGTTTCTTTGTTGCTGTTGCTGAGTAGGCTCTTGAGCTTTAATTGTTGAGAGATGAGGGCATGAGCCAGCGTCCTTGATCTTGATTTACTTGCTAAGCAATAGTTTATGGTACAAAACACTTTCCTCTTCTCTTCCTATGATAATCGAGGTTGCATTTGACTGAAACATAAATCAGATCAACCACTAAAACAGTAAAAGTTTCTTAGAATACTCTGTTATTGGCAAACCTTGAAAGTTACTTGAAGTATGACCAGTTATTTGCTATGATGAACTCAACTATTTCCATTATATAGTCTTTAAACATGATGTGTAATGCATATATGTGATTACTGTTGTAGAAATCCATACATGAGCATACATGCAATGGCTCCACATGTTACATAATGAGAAATTCTTGCATGATTAAATAGAACTGTGGTTGTCAATACACTAATCTTGAATGCTTTCTAAAATGAATCTGAGGCAACTTGAGTCAAGTAAAAATTGGCATGATCATTGCTTCCGGTGAATGATTTTTAGAACGTCAAGAGTAGATTCTGTTCATCCCTGCAGGGTTTACCATTTAAAGATGCATCTTTAATCTGGCTGCCTATCATACTATTTAATCTACTTCCTCAGAACCTTCTTAGACTCAGAAGAAGAAACTTAAAGGATGCCAGACAAGCTTTATTCAGATAAAGGAGCAGGTTAATGGCACCTACAAATGTATTCTTCTTATTCTTATTCTTATCATATGAGCAGGTTAATGGCACATGCATGTGAAGTGGTCTGCTTCGCTGCATCCTGCTGGCCAAGTTGGTGAGGCCAGATATCCCAAGGTTGCAGACTTCTTCATCTCAGAAATGGAGGGGGATAACGTGTGGTCCAGAGCAGGAAAGATTCCCCGAAGCAACACGGGGAATCCTCATCTCTGCCTTTGTGAAAGTTAGCGGCTTGAGCATTATAAAAGGTGAGTTCTACGGGAGCATCCTCCTTCGACGCTTGCTTTGCGAATGCCACAACCGAGGGTGATCGAGGTCCGATCAGGCGATCAGAGCTCGCACTCGCAGAAATGGCGAGTTGCCTTCACGGAAGACGCGTTCGATTGCTTCATTGCTTGCAGCGGGGACGCTGTTGGAAAGGTGTTTGGTGAAGGGTCGCTCTTCAACCCGCTACTGTTCGAGAAGTTCTTCGACCCTGCCGATGCCTTCCTGTTGTGGGAGTTCGAGGCGGAGACATTGCTCTCTGGCCCTGGGAACACCTCCAAGACCGCCGTTGATTGGTCTGAAACAGACTCAGTATGCTCTGAGAGCCGAGTTACCAGGTAATGGTGTCTCCTTCTACAGGAAACAGATCTATCTAATGTCCGTATATCATCGATAGAATCTCAACACCATGCTTCTCAGTTGGTGAAAGGAAATGTGGCGTGAAGGAGAAGGTGGTGGAGATCAGTGGCTTGTGGGGTGGGTGAGAAGCTGATGCAAGGGAGTGGAAGACCGGCCACTGGTGGGAGCATGGCTTCGGCAGGTGACCTGAGCTGCCACCGGATGCAAACTGGAAGAAGACTGAAGCGTACATCAACGATGACATCTTTCTGGAGATCAAAATCCCAAAGACTGCTTCTGGCAGCAATCTCTGATGTCCATTTGTTCCTGCAGGAAGAGAGTAGGAGATGGTGTATATGATAGCCGAAGAATGCTTTCTCTCCCACACACAAGGCATGATGCTTGTCGAGAATAAATTAGATTAATTACACTGATATGAACTGATATCTATGCTTCAGTGTTCACATAAACATCGGTCGATCTATAGCTTCTTCATTGTACTGTTCTCATCAAACTCTGGTCCTCCGTCCTCACCATCTGCAGGATCTCAATTGAAGGATGAAGTCAAGATGTGCAGTGCTGCATCCACAACATCGGCAAAGGCACCACCAACACTCATATCAGTTTCTGGATCAAATGGGTATGGCTTCATAGTCTCTGTAGCTTCCAAGATTTCATCCATCGGTATCTCTGGCTTCGATCTCTCTACAGGTGTAATGGGTTTGAAATACTTCCATGGATCTGCACAGTACTCCTGCAGTAAAACAACACCATTGAACTGCATCAACTCCATTATTCCCAAGCTTGAAGGTTCAGAGGTAGTACGAAGAAGAAACCTCACCTGATCTGCATGCATCTTTCTCACAAACAATCTAAATACGTTGAAGTTAATTCTCTTCAGTAACTCATCTGATAGTCTGAGATATGTCATTGCTAGAACTCTCAGCTTTGGCCTGCCATTTCTGCTGACTCCATTTGGCCTAGCATTCTTCAAGATCTGGTTATACCCCCTTCTGTCATATCTGCTAAGAGCATTTTCGCATGCCACTTCGATCCCCTCTCTCCATGCTGCACTGAACACCTGACATCAATTCCCAAGCACCTAGTAACTCATGTCTTGTGCTCTGTAATCTGATGGTGGTGGTGGCTTTTACCTGTCGAACGAGTTCTTCAGGCCCACTCTTGGCTCTTCTGATTTGTTCCCAGTTTCTCATCTCCACACAGGTGAAGTTGAGGATAGCATCATGTCTTGCCAGCATTCTTGCGATGGTTCTGTAGCCGTCGCGATCGTTCAGGTTGTAGTAGCCTGCAGTTAGCTCTGCTGCATGGTTGTCGTCTTTGTACCACCAGTGGATGCCGGAGACCTGCGATGCAAGTGGTGGGATTACAGTGAAGGCAACACACAGAGAGGGCTTCCTAATTGCGTTGAGAGAGTGCAATAGGACACTTGCTTTAGCTGCAAGCTTGAGTTTGCAGCCTAGGAAGGCCTCATTAGCTGCATCAAGAATCTGGTCTCCATGCATTAGTAGCTTGTTCGAGTACCAAGTCAGGAAGAAGCTTCCTTTTTCCGTGAGATATGTCCCATTCTTCGCCGCGAAGAACTTCGTCTTCGTCGGCTTGTCGTTGTATTCTCCTGCATCATCTGGCAAATCCCATTCAGGGTGTCCTGCCATTGTTGCGTCCTCTTTGAACTCTTCCTTCATGTACTTGTCATAACACTACAAAACATGCTTCAGTCATCCTCTTCTCCAGTTTCTGGAAGAGGTTTATTAGCTAACCAAAACTGAAGACAATGTACAAGAAGCGATCACAGTGAGCTCTTACCTGAAACTCTCCAATGCCTGGAAAAACCCATCCCTGTGCTTCAGGGTAGGAGGGGTACCTCAATTCTCCGGCAGGGCCAAGACCCACCTCTATGTCTGTGATAATGCCAGCATCCAAGAAATCTGCCATGTTTGCTCTGAAGCTCTTCATGAAGTCACTGTAAAGCTGCAAACAAGAAACAAGATAGTCCCTGCATCCACAATCTCTTCAAGCGGACTAAAGGCCACGAAGAATGATGGTTTGCAGCTCTAACCTCCACAGCAGTGCGGCCATCAAATATGGGCTGGTCGTCTACCCCAACGGTGAGGTACTCTCGATTCCTCGTGCCACTTCTGTTGGTGTAGTAGATATCTGGGTCCGACTCGCCGACATCGCGAACCCACCGCGGCAACGGGATGTCGACGGCGTCGCCGATGTTTCCACCGCACTGATGGAACGACATGATGGCCTGCAACTTGAGCCCTTCTTCCTCCACCATGTGGAACAGCTCCCTGTATGCGCTCCAGTCGTAGCATTTCGCGCCCTCGGCTTCGACGATTCCCCACCAAACGTCCACCATGACGCCGTCGACATCGGCGGCACGCAACTGTCGCATCTGCCGCCGCAGTTCTTCCTGCTTCTCCAACACGTTGCTGACGGAGATGACATCCAACTGTTGGGCAGTCTCAGATCAAAGACCGTAATGTCACTGCTGCTGGGCCAATTAACTAAGAACAACTTACTGGGAGCATCACGAACACCGGCACGTAGTTTGCCAGCATCTTCTCCGTGTCTGTGCGAGAGTCTGCTGTCTGCATGGAGTTCAGTGTGGCGGAAGCGCCTCAGATCCATCCTTAGCTTGGCTTGAGTACAAAGACATGAACAGAGTATATATCGAGCAGAACATCTACAGCAATGACATGAATGGACGAGTTCTTACTGTCATGACAGTAGCACTAAACCGTACCTCAAGATCAGAAACCATGGTCGGAGAAGCAGAGGTCACGGTTTGAGGTGCAGTAACTCTCTTAAAAGGTCCATCTGAGGAGAATCTCCCACCAAATTCTATCTTATCCATCTTTCTCGATCCGCCCACAGGAGCCAGTTCATGCCCTCCGTGCCACAGGCGGAGCTCTGTCCTCGCCGGCGATGACCTCTCTAGATGAGGTAGGCTTGCATAGGAGATGCTTGTCATCAGGAATAGCTCGCTCTTGCAGCACGGAGAACTCGATGCAATTGCTCTGTTCTCAACATGGACTCTTACCAACACCCAACAGAGAATGGGTGGTGTGGATGATCTCAACTTGGATTTGTCTCTCTTTCTTTCTCTAAAAGAAATGAAAATTTATCGTTCACATATTATTGTTCGAACAAGAAAATTTTCCGAGCTCATATATTCCTTTCCTCCAAATTCGAGAAGGGCTCAAACTATCACTAAATAATGCACGAACGATATGAACAACCAATGATTTGATTTGATGAAACATATTAAGTCTGAATAATTGGACTTAATACAACAAAAAAACCTTTATTAGTAATTAAATAAACTTAAAAATACTGCATTACGACAAATATGAGACAGTTTTACGTCATGAAACCCATAATAATTGCAATTACATCACTTTTTTGTTACTACATCGACAAGAGACCGATCACTACAGTTCGCAGGCTCGAACGACAGCTTTCCACCGGCGAGGTCATAGACGAGATGCATGTTCTGCTGCTGGAAGTTGCCCAAGATGGAGAGGTTGAACGGAGACCCGAAGATTGCCAAGCACAACAATCCAGCACTGGAATTCACAACGAAGTAGTTCGCCGCCGGGAAGGCCATATCAGCGCCATCCAAATGGAAAACCAAGATCGGCAATGCCACCCCACTTGCATCCGGTGGCAAGGAGAAGCAGAGATCATACCCGGCCACGGTCGCCACCGGTAGATCGATCTGAGACACAAGCGCTTGCTTCAGCATCGCGTGAGCGGGATCCGTCAACAGGGTAAAGGTGGTGCCGGAATCAATGACCAAGCCGCCGGTCCCGTTCGATTGGAGCGCAAGGGTTGTGTTCGGTATCGGTAAGAGGGTTGCACCGACCGAGATCCCTTGCAAGGAGAGGTAGTATAGGGGAGAAGGGACGTTGACGAACGGCGTGGAAGAAGCCTGTGGGCTCGGATTTGCCGAAGAGCCAAAGAGCAGAGCGGTGGTTGTGTCGTCAGAAGCGAAGCAATAGGAGAATCTTTCTTCACCGAGCTGGGACACCAGTGACAATGGCCCCCTCGCCATTCCCAGGATCCCGGCGGAGTTAGAGAAGAAGGGTGAGTTCTCCGCTCCAACCTCGCTCACGGTGCTGCACCCGAAGGCGATGCCGGTGATCGCCGCCGGATCGGCTGCGCCGAAGGTGAAGGTCTCGGTGCCGAGAACACCTTTGGTGTACGAAGTATCGCCGTAGGAGTAGCTGTAGTGGCAATCAGGAGAGCAGGAGAAGCGAGGGAGAGTCTGGCACTGGGGACTGGTGCAGGGGAGAGCGGCGTAGGTGAGAGACTCGGAGGGCTGAGAGAAGCACTGGGTCCAAACCAGGTCGCTACCGGTGTCGAGCATGGCCGAGAAGACGAGGGGCGGGGTGCCGATGGCGAGGTCCACGAGGTAGCCGGCGCTGCTCCAACGGACAGGGAGCTGGACACCGGTCTGCGTGGCCTGCAGGCTCGCCTTGCGAAGCATTGCCGCTCGACGGAGGAACTCCAACCTGGAGAAGTTCCCTCCGTGGGAGTCGATGCAGGGGAACTGCGCCGTGGCCGGCGCGAAAGACGGGAGCACGGCCACGAAAAGCAGCAGCAGGAGCAGCGGCGGCGGTGGCATCCTCGTCGACGACTGTAGCCTTTCTTCTGCTATTCTCTCAATATAAGGAGAGATTCTACCTCTATTTATAGCGTCAAACTCCTAAGACGTTTCAATAGTTCCCAATTCGATTTCCTAGTTTATTTAGGAGTCAATCTTATGGTTTCCTACTAACCTAATTAGTATTACATCTCTGCGGAGTAATCATGTTTTCCTAACCCGACTCATCAATGACAATGCTAAATCTAATTGCATTATTGCAGACACTAAAGATTCACAGGTAATCGCCGTTTATTTAGGAAACATGCAATGTTACAGACACAGACTCGTCGAAATGAGATATAGCAGTGAGAAAACAGGACGATTCACAAGCCGTTTGAGTTGTCCGCTCCGACCTTGTTCCTGGTGCCACACTCGAAGGCGACGCCGGTGACGGCCACCGGATCGCTGCCTGCTCCGAGTGTGAAGGCCTCGGTGCCGAGAACACCATCGGTGTACGTAGTGTCGGCGTAGGAGTAGTAGTTGTAATGGCAATTAGCTGGGGAGCATGGGAGAGCCTGGCACTGCTTGCAGGGGAGTGTGGTGTAGGTGCGAGATTTGGAGGGGTCGTAGATGGGCATGGGCTGAGAGAAGCACTGGGTGCAAGGCTCGCACGCTGCCGGTGGCAAAGTGCCGATGGCGAGGTACGTTGCTCGCTGGAGGAGCTCCAGCTTGGAGAAGTTCCCCTTTTCGGAGTCGATGTAGCGGAGCTGAACCGGACGTTGGCCGGCCACGAACAGCAGAAGAAGCGGCAACAAGAGCTGCGGAGATGGCGGCATCCTTTCTGATGAGGGTAATAATGGCGACATGACGTACCACGACGTCAGCTATGACCGAACGACACTCTACCCAAAGAAGGCAATAATGTCGACGCAGCATGCGCCGACGTCACCCGCTCTCAAACAACGACTCCGTCGTCGTCTGACCCAACATGCTTGACCGAGGAAGAGGAGGACGACGACCGAGGCGCGCCCATACCCTGTGGCAGTTCGGTCCTTCCCGCCACGCCAACACCAGTGTCAGACACTACCAGGAGTACGAGCCTACCCCCTGCAAGCGGGCACATCAGGAAACAGTAAACTCCCCTATAAATATCCCCGAGTTCTAAACGAGGGGGGAGGGCACTTCTTCATACAAAAATCCCCTCCGCATCCACTGACTTGATTGTCGGAGGGGTCGTGCCGAGCTTCCGACCCGACCAGTGTGCAGGTGCGAGAACGGGGTCGCCTCTTTCCGGTGCCGCGGCAAAAGCTTTCTTCCCGACGCGACATCCCGACCAGACCGCCGTAATCGGACACCAAGAGATATCGAGGGACGTTGTGCGAGATCCCCGTCATTCGGACCCCCAACCAAGCCACGTCGGCCCCGAGGCCACGGCATAAAGTTGTTTACACTAACAGATTAGCGCTAGAAGGAGGGTCGTCCGAATGTCGAACGATCAGCAGATCCACTTTGACGAACCCACGGCTGTCGGGTTGCGTCCGGTCAGCACCCTGGAAGAACATCCCCCGCGTGATGAATCCCGTGACGAATGCCCCGCCACAATGTCAGAACGCTACTGGCAGTTGTTCAACGACCCGGGTTTATCACCGCCTGACGGCGCCCCCGCCGGCACGTCGCTGTTATCGCCCGAAGCCTTCTACGACCTCGCTCATCGAGTCCGAGCTCTGACGGGCGTGGTGCAAACTATCATCCTGCTCATCTCCCAACCGACGCCCCCGCATATGACCCGGCCTCTACAACAGCGGGAGCCCCCCACCCGGACTCATGCACCACTTCCCGAGCTCCC